GTAATCAGAGAGTGAGGGTGCGTGAGTGCTAGACTGGCCTGCTTGCAGTCTACCACTCTCTCTCATTGAAAACATGCATCTTAGTAAGCTCAAAATATGACAACAAAGGTCCTGTATGCTTGCCTAGCTGAAGACTTATATAACAGAAGAATGGCAGAAAAAATTAAATCAACTATGTGTTCAGTCCACAAACAATTATTGTGTTGTTCAAAGGAAAGGTGATGTAGGACAGTGGTAAACATGCTCCTGTCCCAATTTTGGAGGATGTTGCAGGCATCAAATTTGGCATGAAGATATATTTACAAGAACAATAAAGTTCATAATGAAAAATATAGAATGTGTTTTTGTAACGTTTCCACTGTAAAACAGGATGTACTAATCACTGCTTTCTGTTTTTATTGGCATTTCACACACTGTCCCAACTTTTTTGGACTTGGGGTTGTAATTTGCAGAGGAGAACCTTCAGAGTCTTCTAGGCTTTCAGAGAAGGCATAATGATTTCTAGGAACTAAAAAAAAATACGTCTGTAATTTTTAGTAAACTTTACGTTTTAGCCGTACGTTTAAACGTAAAATTACGTTTAAGCCTTGTAAGCATTACAGTTCTACTCTTGTTTCATTGTTAAATTTAGGATGGAAACTAAAGGGTAAAATTCTTGAATGCAATCAGGAATTGTTTTTCTCAGTGGTATCTAGGTAGATATAGGTAAGTGATCTCTCCTATTGGTTAGGACTTCAGGAGCTAAAGAGACTGAGTAACCATCAGCATAATTGCTAAGTGGCTAAGGAATCAACCAATCACATTTTAATTTCCAATAGATGGGGCCAATTTTATGAGAAAAATGTCACTCTAGGCCTTCTAAGAGTCCCAGATATGTCACTGGCTGTGAATACGAGCGACAGCCTTATAAGTGCGTTATTAGAAATGGAAGACAGAGGCGGCAGCTCTATACCAGAGCTTTCTACTGAAACTGCTACAGGGTAAAATATATGCTAATCTGTCTGTCGCAAGCTTAAATTAAAACTTGCAATGTTTTTTAGAAGCTTCAGATATCTTTTTAATCTAGAACTACCAAGAAATGTTAATGGGAATTGTTGTTTAATGCTAACAGACTAATAAAAGGTGTAGTGATGCTCGCAGAAGTTAGCAATATCAAAGTGAGGTTTTTTTTCGTCATGCTTTGACCAAGTTTTGACATTTATGGCCCAATTAAAGGACTAGCTGGAATAGTCTTGGGTCACCACTGGTAGTTTGTAATACTGATTTTTATCTGTGCGTAAGCATAAATCTTTAGAGACTGGAAATTTTGTATTCACAGCCTCCAAACTGTGTGACTTCACTCATACATGTGTAGCACGTTTCTAACATTAAAACCACTGGCAACAGCAGTTTATCCAGTTCTGATTTACTTTACTGTGATACATTCCGCTAGTAATCTTACTAATTACTCCAGACATTGCATCTTACTCATCTGTAGTCACTTAACAAAGATCTGATATTATAGCATAATTCCTTGAGTAGAGGTTTTAAAATGGTTAATGGACAACTTTGAAATAGATGAAATCAATAGTTTTGTATTAGTGTTTGTATTTATTCTAACATTTGTGTTTTTTGGTGGCAAAAGAAAACTTAATGTCCAATTAAATTGCTTTTTTCAGACTGTACACTGTACTGTACTGTACTGATAAGGATACCAATACTCATTTTTTTTTTAAAGCAACAAGCAACCACTGTTATTCTATTTAAGGAAGTTTTTGTACAATCTGTACTCCACACTCAATAGATATTTGGATTTTTTTTGCATGCTGCTGCATTTCAAAAGCAGTCTTCAGAATATTTTTCTGAAATGTGTTTGGTATTTTGTTTACATAATCCTGAATCTGATTGGAATGTTTTGTAGCAGCTTGGACTGCTATGGGTGCTTATTGATTTGTGAATAATAAAAATGAATCATGGGAATATTTAACCATTTGATTAACTAGTTCATTTTTAGATTAAATTTCTAAATTATTTAAAAAGGTTATCTTTGAGAACATTTTTTAAAAAATTACATTGAATTCCCTTTTTTTTATGAGTAATTTATTTTCTTTAACTTAAATATGTAGCACTCCTTGACAATGGTAAATGTGTATAGAATACCTATAGACGAATGAGAACATAGTGTAACTTGGGCAGCTCCCCCTTGGTTCCTGATGGCCCCCCGTGGCGGTGCAGACCAAGGTGGCTCAGTGATGGCGTGGGGCCCTGTTTGTTCAGCAGGTTGTGTTTAAACTCTCATCAGGAGGAAGGCTGCTAATGGACAGCCCCACTACCCAGCACAACATCCCAGCATATGTGGAAGTATCACATTTCCCCACTTCACTGCATACACCACTGTCGAGAGAATGGAGGTTTACTGCTATAAAAATAGCACTGGGGCAATAAAGTTTGGACCCGCAACCTGGCTCAGGTTCCTCACAGTCGTTATTGAAAGCAGAGTGTGCCATTGCATAAGACAGTTGGCACACTGTTGGGGGCCTCCTTTTTTATTTTTTAGTTAGAGTGCAATTGGAAAAGAGACTACATGTACTAATAGAGGGATAAATCTGACTGCAAGGGACAGCTATGAAAATCAGGATGTGTGTCCTATAAGGACATTCTGTTCTATAGGTCTGCTATCTGACCCAAGAATGCCATGGCCTGACAACTATCAAGTTTAGGCTGGATTCGGGCAGATTTTTCACGTACATGTTTTTTTGTTTTTTTATTAATGAGAGTGATTATTTTATTTTATTATTATTTTATTATTTTATTTTTGCAGTAGATTTTTATTTGAAGTTATGTGCAGCTGTACATTTTTCTTACATTCTCTCCTTCTCTCTCGGTCTCCTTCTCTCTCTCTCTCGTCTGTTATGTGTAACAAAGAAAAACTGTTTAAAATTCCAAATCAGGAATAGGGCTGCATGATGAATCATATTTTTGTCATTATGGGCTGTGATGATGGAATGGATCTTGATGGTGTAGCGCCAAAGTGGCATAATTAGATTGCTAGGAACGTAGGGTTAGGCCAAGTGCTGAGTAAAATGCATAGACTGTTTGGTAAAATGTATGAAGCAGAAACGGCTACTGTCACAAATCTGCATCATCATAACAAACCTTGAAGGAGTCAGATATATACATTTGTTTTTGTAAGCCTTTATTGAAAATAAAAATATATGTATTTATAGAAAAAAGCTTATTAGGGATTTCTGGCTTTTTTTACACTGAAGCTCCCTGTGGAACTCACTCACATTTTGCAGGCTACAGATTCTCCACAAGGGGCAGCATCAGCACTCAAATAGTTTTTGATTCTTCACAAAAGAAGTGCTTTGTGTCAGCGACGCTGTGTTGTTTCTGATGTAAGTAGCTGTTAGTACTTCATTATTTTGCACAGTAGTGAATGATGCTTTTGTAATTTTGTATTTTTATAATTTACTTAATTTAAGGAGACGCTTCTGTTTACACAAAGTCTGTACTTGCAGCACATCCAGTCAGAGGCCCTGCTATTTTAATAATAGTTTGTTGTGGTCACTACATTAGGAAAATAAAATGTGTATATAATAATATAATATATGGCCGGTACCGTACAGAGCATGTGACACAGTATTTTCAGCTATGATAGTAAGAGGACTGTGAGAGAAAATATTCTCAACATATGTTATTTTCTCTTGTGTTATTTTCTTAAGGTCTTAACCATGTTTATTGTAGAGTTTCAGCAAATGGCCTTTTGTTACAGAGAAGTGATAACTCTCACACTCTCACCTTGTCCCCTCACTCATGATTCTCATGCATGCATGTTAATAAAACTCGGAATCTGAAGATCCAGTCGCCTGACTCTTCCTGCCGAATTTGAACTGGTACGTCATCTCTTTAGGGACACATTGGCTAGGGATGTAGCCGTTCTGCCGACTGGCCAGAAACAAATATCTGTGTCAGAGTACTTTCTCACAGTTGTCAGTATTTGCTAGAGCAAAAATTCGGATAATAGTTACGTTAATTTTCTGTCCATTAATTCAAGCGCTTGTAAAGTCGTTTCTTTGATAATCTATCTCTGTTTGTGCGATTTGGTCTGTTGGGGTTTCAAACATAGCATTTCCAGTTGAGCCTGGTTTGATTGGCGTCCGAAAGTTGGCATGGCTTCAATTTCATGCCCTTGCAGATCTCTAATCTGCACCCATTTTTCAAACCTCTCTGTTGTACAAAAATCCATATGATTGTATCTTTGGTACATGCTGTCCATGTGGAATATATATAATTATGAACCATCTTCATTATTTAACACAAATTAATTAGATCTTATAAAACTGTAGTTTATAAGTCACAATATTGGCTTATATGCACTTTATAGACCAGAGTTATTGAAATCACAGCCCAGGTACTACAGATTTTCAACCCTCGTTTTAGCTAGGAATAAAGTGTGATAAAGTGGCCCAAACATTTTCATTAGTGTTCATTTAACTGTCAGTGATTCAATATCGAGAACTGGATTTGGATTTTAGGTCTGAATTTGAGTACCTACGTTATAGACCCTATAGAATTTTATGTTAATCTCAGGCCTTGACAGTATGAATTCCGTATTCCATAACAGCATATACACTTTCTTTCTGCAGGTCTTTAAAATTCTGCTGATCAGAGACTCTGTCAGCCTAATCTAACAGTTCCAATCAGTACACTTTCTTGTAAATAAAGTCTACCGCAGCGATTAACAGTCCAGCAAATAAAAAATGATGTCCTATGAGAAAATGTTATGCCTGTGGAGCCCATGCTTTCTTCATGAAGACTGAACAAGGAAGTCTGCTTTGCTTTTTCAATAATGAAATCACAGCTAATCTGCTTACTTATTAACTATAGGTTATATGCGGAAATGTCCTGTCAGCCTTCTCAAAGGTTTGTCTTCAAAATCTTTAACTGCCACTGCTTTCGCATAGTCCATATGAACTGCAGAACAAAGTTTAGGACTTAACCAGGAATCCAGCTTTAAATCTTAAAAAAAGGAGCTCTAAGCTATTGCTTATTCCTTGATATCCAGGTAGAAGTCAAATACTTGTTGTGCAACAGAGAGAAGATTGTATCCATGTCCAAGCAGATGTCTACATCCTAGAAAATGCCTAGTATTTTCCACTCTTCTTGCAGGGTTTTAAAACAAAACTAAAGTTAAGAGGCCATCAATGGGCCATTCATTTGTATTCCATTTATGTCCTAACGTCGTGTCACCTGTTAACTGCATATGTCCATAGTTTCTCCTTTACTGGTTAAGTTTGTCCATAACCTGCAGTACATCATCCAGAATAGAGGGTCCCAGGTCCAGGTTGAAGGAAAAACTTGTGTCAACGTCTGGCTGTGTTTCGTCTGGGCCGGTTTGGGTAGAATCTCTACCAGAGCTCAGGCTCCCTCGGCCAGGGCTCCGGCTGATGGGGGCCTCTTCGGCATTGAGTTCGTATGCTTCTTCCTCAACTTCTTCAGTGTCCAAAAGTGGCAGCGAGCTGCATTTTTTCCGTCTCTGAACTGAAGACTGGCGTTGCGAGACCCAGTTAGTGTCGCTGCCTAAGAGTGGGCAATATGGCATATATTTGTAAGTAACACAATACTACTTAATGTATATATATATATATATATATATATATATATATATATATATATTAAACATAATTCAACCAAATTAGTTCAAGCTCAAACTGCTAAAAACTGCTGTCCCAGTCTAAGTATTTACACTGTAGATATTTCCAAGGATTATGTTATGATCTATTTAAACCCACAGTCATAGTAATAAGCTCAATATACCCCAAATCATCATTTATAGGGTACTTTCTTTTGGGAAAAGATCTAAAAGATCTGCATGATTTCTTTTAAAGTTGAAAGATGTAGATTTATCATGAGTTTAGTTTTTAGTTTCAGTAGTGTAATGATTGTTTTGGTAGTGACAACATGAAATGTTCAGTCATTTGTTTTAATAAAATAAACACAGTTTAGGTCCAAGTCGGTTGAAAGCCAAAATGTGTTTTCAACTCTGACTGAGGTCTGCTATTAAGTTGAAATGGAAAGCGTGCCCCAGCAAAACAGTTTGCATTTTAAAGGCTATCAAAATTGTTAAAAATGTAATAAAATAATGTCATAACAGACTAATATCCAGTCAGTTATTGTGTAGTTTATGTAGTTAATGTTAAAGAGATATTTGTCTGAAGCTGACAGCACCCGACTGCTCATGCCTGGTTCGATTAGGTTTAAACATCATTTTTAAAATATGTGGCGGGCTCAAGTCAGGTTCAGGGGTTCAGGGTCTAACCTAACAGCCGGCCTCCAACTTTTAACAGAATTTGCTTTGCAATTTCTCCTGCTTTAGTTTTACTCCTTACTTTATTATTCACTACTTTTACAACCATCAGTCATTTTTAATTTGGCACACTGGAGTCACATCTTACTATATCAGTATGAATATAGTATGGAAGGTTTATTCGGACTAAAAACATTTGAGATGCTGTTCCGTTTCAGATTATTAATTTTAGACAGCTGATTATTTTATTATAGTGTATTCTGTAATTTGTTCATTGGTCCATGATCCAATAACATCAGTAATTGTCACTACATGGTGTCCTGGGATTTACTGTCAGTTTTTTCTGCACTTTGGGCGCTGATGGGCTGGTTTGGGCCAGTTTCTGTCAGAATTTGTTAAACTCTGATCAGTTTCAGACTTAAAACATGATGTGGTTCAGGTTGGGTTAAGTTCAGACTCAAAATGCGGGTTGGATGAGAACAGAAAATCTTCCAGCTGTATTCAGTTTCAGACCAAAATTTCAGACCTGATTAAAACTCTCGTTAAATTACACTGCTTGTTCACATTTACAGGCTCTCTATAATAGATCTTTTTATTCATGCAGCTATTCAGGGTTCTATTAGAGCTAAAGATACCTGTGATGTTCTTAAAAAATAGTATCCTGATGTAATTTATCACAATAACTTCATATTGAGCACCCCTACCGTGGCCTGTCTCAGCTTCGTCCAGGTTGAGGCGGGGTGGCTTTGGAGGGGGTGCGCAGGCCAGGAAGAGGTTCTGCTCACTTTGAGAGCTCTGCAGGAGCAGACTGTGGCCCTGTTTCAGGAAGGAGAGGTCCCCAAAGTTGTCGGTTTGAGCGTTTGAGCCAATGTGAGCGAGGTGCCGGAAGTCTGCCAGTGGAAGGCTGATCATATTGACGGAAAGAACCTTCCGCTTTGATGATCTCCTTGGCCATCTTCCTGAGGGAGGCTTGCCTTCGAATGTTGTCCTTAGTGGCATTCTAATGAGTTTAGTCAGAAGAAGAAGTGGTGTACTTCTAGAAGTTGAGTATATGAGATTGAGAAGGTTTTATCAATGCCAGAACATCATGGAGAGCTTTATTCTGAAAGAGAATGTGGAAACAAAATATTCAAGGTCATGTATGGTAAGGTTATGTTAGTTACCTAGAGCACATTTTCTGTGTTGGAAAAATTCACTCAAACTGCTAACCTTCCTAAGATGGATGAAAGCAAACAGCCACTAATTAGCATTATTTAAATGATATTATAAATAACTGGTAACTATTAGCTTCCATTCTTCCCTAGCCACCCTAGCATGTTTGCTCAAGCTCAAGTCTTTCAAACCTGACGATAATCAAGGTTTTGCTTTTTGACAATAAGATTTTATAGCAGACTATGTCGTTTTAGGCATATAGACACCACTCCAAATCTGGTACAAAGAAAAGAAGAATAAGGAGATGTCTACTAGTCGATGATAAGCATGTGTGTTAAACTTTATTTATGGCAATCTGCCTGTTTCTACTCTTTACTGTAGCTTGTGATATTTTTGTTTCTTTCTTCTGACTCTGAATGAAGACAGTAGTCATGTGTCAGACAGATGTTCAGAGTTTTCCACAGGTCAAAAGCAAACCTGGTGGGGAACACCAGGGGGTTAAGGTGGAAGGTGTGGTGCTGGATGTTATTTGTGTATATAAGTATCTGAAATTAGCATTATTGTAAAGATGAAGTCTGATATGCAAAGGCTCTTTTTAAAGTGAACGTTTAGATTGTGGAGATGACCACATGGACATAGTGATGCTTTGCATCCGTGACACTGTGTGCTTATTTCTAATGGTATTAAATATTTTCTTGTTGGGATTTGTTCAAATGTGCTGAAATGAAAATTAGATGTTGTTAAAACAGAACAAGTATGGGCTATGTGTGGGAAACACTGGATGTCTGGGCCTTCCGTGAAAAAGTGAGCTGTGGTTGCAACATGTTGACTTGTCTGGCTTTATATATTCACTCACTGTAAATGCTGTCACGGCCTAATTATGAGCTGAGCTCTGGGACCAGGTGAGCTGAGATAGTTACATGGTGCATGTTAAGAATCCTCCCCATACACTCATATGCAAAAAAGTTTATACACCCCTGGTTAAATGACATGTTTTGTTGATTTTCTAGAAGTAAGCATGTCCTATGAAGAGAACATACTTACTTAAACATTTTCTGCTAATTTTAGTGCACAATTTCTGTTTATTTGCAGTAAGTTTAACAAAATTATTATCTGCAGTAAGTTTAACAAAAAATAAAACATAAAATGTGGCCTGTGCAAAAGTTATGGCACATTTTATGTTTAATGTTTTTATGTTTATGCTGGTTTTTATTTTTCTCCCAATATGTTAAACTTGGCACAGAAACAGTGTTTGTGTATTAAAATGTGCAGAAGTGTGTGCTCTATAGAGGATATGTACTCATTTTCACTTAGAAAATCAACAAAACACGTCATTTGCATGCAACTGTATGTCATCAGCCTTCAGGTTATTTGTGATCTACAATAGTCTTAAGCAATCTAAATCAAATCATTAGATTATTTCTGTCACTTTAGTGTATGAAGAAATAAAGAAGAAATAATATGCTGCAGAAAAATGAAGTGACAGGAAAATAACTTGGCAATGGTTAGCCAGTGGACAGTTCTGTGGGCTTGAGGTTTTATGTGTTACTGACCTCCTGCTGGCTTGTGCACGTTAGATCCGTTTTCGTGACTCAAAACACTTACTGTGCAAATGTGTACGGCACGAGAAAAAACATGTTTTGTTGGCAATAAAGGTTTTTATCGGCACTTTAGCAGCAGCGGGAGATGAGGGAGCGTGGACATAACAGCATTCCTTTTCAAACATGTAAGAATAAGGGAGGGAGCGGAATGGCTCAATTTAAGGAAGCTTTAAGGAAATGCTCATCTTCCAAGTCCTAATTAATGAAGGCCTGAACACACTCTGCCAGGACACCTCATAGTTTTAATGAAAAATACACACTATTCCATCGCTTTCCTGTAATCTCTCTTCACTCAATTTTGTGAAGTGTTTGCTTATGCTTTATGCATTTTATGTTAAATTCTTTAAGATTCTTCAGAAATGTTAGAAATGACTGACTGTCAGAAACTTAAGTTCACCATTTACAAGCAAAAAATCTTGCTAATTTAGCCCAACTCTTACCTTAAATGGTGTGTGCGTTAGGCCGTTTTCCCCGCACCCACACTTGTGATCAAGTTGGACAAGGCTGAAACCAGCAGATGTTTGAAGTGATTCTGATTACATGACAGGGCTTGTTCAACTATAAAGCATGGGAAAACAGAGAGAGAATCCTTCGACTCTTATGGATATCCTGTCCCAGGAAGCGATACCAAAACATGAGCGAATCGGTCTTTTGAAGTGAATTTTGCATGTGTTCTTGAAGAAATTTCCATGTTTGGTCTACTATCTGGGACCTGATTTTTCCGCCATCATACCTGCATTTGGTTCATCTTAACGACAGCTTAACGGAATCTTGGAACACTGACGGATACCCACACCAACCCAACAGTGAATATTAACAGAACCTTTTATTTAATACAGAGTCCAATGATGTCAAGCTCATTAACATTATAGCATTATTGTAAACTAGCAGTTTCTGACTGCTAGTTTAGAAGATCTTTAAAACAACAACAGCATAAATTCTTACCTTGATCCTTAAAGAAATCTTTTCAAGAAATGAGGGTTACACGGTTCGTGTACACTTTAGACACAGTACAGTATCTCCACAGTTCATAGTCCACCCTGGATTTGAAGTGGTAAGGTCCAAAGTCAGGTGTGACGGTTGACTGTATTGTGTGACAGTTACTAAGGTGAGGTCTGAATAGAAGGCGTGTCTGCAAGAGCAGGTGGAGTGATTTCTTTCGTCTTTGCTCCCTGCTTTTTTCCAGAGCTGTTGGGTCAGAGTTTGTTTGCTCTATGACGACATCACATCCCCTGCCGTCCAAGACTGTAAACCCTGGACACTGTACCTTTACCTTAGGTCTGCCCGCCCAAGTCTCTCTCTCACTCTCTCTCTCTCTCTTTCTCTCCCCAACTCTCAACTAATGTACTACTCTGATTGTGTCAGACTCCTGTGGAAGTTGTGGCTGCTGGGAAGAGTACCACATCTCTCTCCATTTGGCTGAGCCACGAGAAAGACTGAGAGGGTTAAACGATTACTAATCTCTGTGTCATTGTCCGTCTCTGCTGATTTCCTGTGCTGTGTGAGCTTTGCTAAAGCCCTCCCTGGCCCGAGCTTCAGCAGTTTCTAGCTGAATGGAGGAGGATGCACACAGGTTTGGAATGAAGGCAGTCACTCGCAGAGGGACATGTACGGGCTGGCTGAAGTTGCCCAAGTAGCTTTTCCAGTAATGTTGCTATTCCAACTCCCACGCCCACACACTGTATATTCACATCACCATATCTTTCTGTTCCCTGACTTAAACGGGAAGGAATTTAAATAACACTGGAAACTACTACTGTGGAATACTGCTGGTTTTAAATGTTTCAGTGTTACGGTACTGGAGGGATGCAAGTTTTTTGTTTTATTTATTCAGTTATTTTAATAAAATGTATTTATTTTGTAAATCTCTGGAGTAGCTTGTTTGTTTTTGTCTTTCAAAACAAATTTGAGGTTCACCAGTGAGTAATTTAACTGAACTCACCCAATTATTTATATACTCCAAACATTGACAGTGTGAGTCTGTTGGGCTGTTGTCATTTGGTGTGAGAGCCATATAAATATACATATAAATGCATATTGTCTGCATAACTATGGGAATCAATGTTTTTCTGTAGAATTTGCCCAAAGGCGGCACATATAGATTGAATAAAAGAGGGCCGAGAACTGAACCCTGGGAGACCCCGCTTGTCATAGCCACCCTGTCAGAATCATAACTGCCACTGGTGGCAATATAAATCCAGCCTTCTAAATAAGACCTGAACCAATTAAGGACTGTTCCAGAAAGTCCTACCCAATTTTCCAACCTGTCCAGCAGTATTTTATAGTCTGCAGTGTCAAATGAAGTGCTGAGATCTCGTAAAACCAGAAGTGATGCCTGAGTCAGTATTCAGCCTTATATAATTTAACACTTTTATAAGAGCAGTTTCGGTACATTGGTGAGATCACAAGCCTGATTGAAATTTGTCAAAATAACTGCTTGAATTAAAAAAAATGCTGAGTAATTGAAAATAACTTTCTCAGTGATCTTAGCTATAAAAAGATTTGAGGCAGGGCTGTAGTTTAACACAGAGGCATCCATAGGTCTCCTTTTAAAGAGTGGCTTAGTGGCAGCTGTTTTTAGTGACTTTGGGAAAATGCCTGATAGCAGTGAGCCGTTACCTACTTGGTGCAAGTGAATTGCGTGTTGAGACAATATGTCGATGATTTAAGATGCCAAACTGTTTCCTCTAGGGTTTTTTTAGTCAAATGTGTTAAAATGTGACATAATCAAAGTATTTCTTGGTGGTGGTAAAGATGGCATAGTTTCATTGTTTGACTGTGTTGTTGATGGTCAGTTTAATAGTTCACTAAAAAACAATAAAATTCATTAAATTCCTCTGGGGAAAGGAGTTCTGGGCCAGTTTTTGGGTATTTGTGAGCTTGTCAACCATGAGCAATAGCATGTGGGTACTAATGTGTTATGACAGTCAGTTTTAGGAACTATTATTTTTATAGAAGAACAAGATTGGCAGAGTGTCAATCACAATGATCCAAATCTGAAATACTAAACAGTATTTCAAATGGAAGTAAAAGCTGGAAAAATTTAACTTCTCTGTCTGATCAGGACTGAGTGGCCATTTCAGACTGTGTGGTGATTGACAGTGGTGAAAAAAACCTAATGGCCAGTCTTTTTTTTGTGTGAGAAGCAAAAGATATGTTAAAACACGAGCAAGTACGGTGATCATGGTGGTGCTAGTGACTAATGCAAGTAGGAATTTAGAAAAGTATATCACTATGGCTGGGAGGCTATGATAGGTGACAAATCATTCAAGCAATGTGAGCATTTGACAGTTGCCTAGTTAAATTAACCAACAAATTATGCAGAACTACTACTTGGGCAGACTGTCCAGCAGCTCAGACATCCAGTGACAGTAGTTAGAGAGAAGAAGAGAAGAAGCAAATCTCTCAACAAACAAGCTCTCCAAAGCCCAGTTTCACTGTCTTTTGTAAAGTAGACAGAGCAGAAATATTTTTTGAAGAATTATTATGTAAGCTGTCCCATTGAAATGAACAACAGTACTCTTTATTTGGCAATCAGTTGTACTTTCTTCCATAATAATAATGGTTCCTGAAATTGAACTGTCATACCCCATCAGTCATCAGAAATGGTGCATTACTTGTCCCGGTAATAAACTCCATTCAGTTCAGCTTTTTGACCCAATCCAATCGAGGACTGTCTAGTCAGTAATAATGACCGTTCCACCATATGCAATACCAAATGAAAGATCAACGAAGAGGGCAACGGCGTGCTGCTCAGTTTTAAGAAAACACATTCCATCATTAACTTGGGGCCAGACATCTGTCAACTGCTTGTCAAAAACTAGTCATGCTTCCACTCAGTGTAATGACTCTAGCATGACCTAGGGCTGGGACAAATGAGAGGAACCACTTAGGTCTTCTCAATAATATAGTACTTCCAAAACTTAAAAATGACATAAAATAGTCCTTCTGTTCTACATAGCTTGTTTGAAGACATGGTCCAAATTTTCTCGAAGGGAGTGCAGGAGCTGAACCGTCTCCATGATTGTCTTTCAGCCCAAAAGAGCTTTCATACTTGTCCAATAAACAGTTGCCCTTCCCTCATCTCCTTCAAAGGAAGCAGGTCTTCCTCACCAGATGCAATCGCTCATGCAAACGAAACAACATCAGCCCTCATCATAACATTTACCCACGACTGGAACTGCACATTTCAACAGCTCTCATTCCTCTTCCTCCTGCCCTCCCTACCTTCCCTTTGTTAAGCCCTGTTTTTCATGCAAGTAGATCATCAAGAAATCGATGAGACACTTTTGCTATCTGGGGCCATGTGACCACACCAAGCTTGGGGTTTCACCAGAAGGCAAGGTGGAGCTGCTTTCATGTGCATCTGGTATGCCTCTTGGAGTCTGGCTTGATTACTCTGGCCTTTACTTATGAGGCGCATGGGTTGTGGAGCAAGATCTTTGCCAAGCTCAGGCTGTCGTTGGTTTCTGCAGTCACGTTTGGTACAGCTTTGTCTCAAACACCAGGACGCAGAATCCCAGTTGCTTGGGGAAAAGTGTTTCCAGATCTGCCTTTGGGCAGCCTTTGAGTCCTAAATCAGGGCCTTTTGTTTGTATTCATTCGTGTGCTTCTTGCGGATTTGGTTCTAATGGCCTTGTCAGTAAATACAAACAAAACGACAACTGCTTTGTATGCTTAGGTCTGCGTCCTCTGCGTTCCCTTTGATTTCTTCATGTTGTCTCTGTAACTTAATGTCAAGACAGCTCAGATTTCTTCTACCATCTGTAATATCATGAATCATTGTCTAGTTTAATGGCACTTGTCCAACAGAATCTCAGATGTGTGGCAGTCTTTGCGCATATAAAATTGAGAAATAACACTTGGCCCTATGAAGACGGTTTAACTGAAGTGCACCAGATTTAATACATTTCACAAGTACATTTGGTCAGCCATGTCAGTGTGATATAAAACAGCATTTTACAGTTTTCATAATTTCTGTGCTTTTTTCCAAATTTTATTGCAACAGTCTAGAGTAGAGCTTTCCAAGCTCCAGCTTGTGGATATCTTAGTAACAATCCAGTAGTAAGGTAATAACTGCTGAAATCTACTGTTATGTTGTTATTAATGTAAGTACATAATTACATTATTTAATATATATGTAACATAATTATTTTATGTAAGTCTTAAGCGTTCATAGATTTCAATTTTATGTAATTTTAAACATATCAGCCTATGTCAGGTCACTGTATGACCTCATGAGTGTCTGTAGGTTGCTGTTGGCTCATTTCAGTTGTTGACATAAGCGAACATAAGTGAAGTCAAAAATGAAGGAACTGACAGCATTAATAATCTTTTTATTGAGTATGCAAACCCAGAAAACTAGAAACTGATCCCAAAAAAACCTAAGATAAAGGTAAGGCGTCAAAGCCATTATGAATGCTATGAGGAGAAGAGCTAGCAAATGAGGCTATATTAATTGAAAGCTGTCCAATTACTTCACTATTTGGAGAAAAGACCCCCCCCCAAGCTTCCCTACAGGCTGAAAGGGGACTATGCTTTGGTCTGGTTCAGTCCACACTGTTAAAAGATGTCCTAAATAATAAATAAGTAAGTAAATAAATAAATAGACCGATTGCATTGCAGCTAATTTTACTTAAAAAAAATCTGAATGCTTATAGCTCTGTGCAAATCTGTGCTACTAAGCTTGAGTCTGGGATGACTAAAAATATTTACCTCCTTGTGGCTCCTGGCAAGGAGTTTCTTTGCACTTTTAGATCAAGTTCCTGATAATTGAGAGGTCAAGATGCAGAAGTAAACATTACTTTGCAGTGGAATCTGCATTCCGCTACGTGTTTGTTAACCACATCGATGAGATAAGAGCTTGTTTACACTTCTTGAGACTAATTTGGACATGGTATTTCTCCATACGCCAGCACAAGTACAGGCCAAATACCTGATACCTTGGTGGCAAACATGCATATCAGTGTTTTAATTACATTAAATTGCATTCTTTTGTATTGTTCACTGGTTACACTTAATGCTCCCATGACCGAGATGTCAGTCTTAATTATGCTACACACATTGTTGAATGTAGATTGTGGTGTCCATGTAAGCTCTTCTCAAAAGCTTTCCAAACATGCTCACTTTGTATTTGTACAACTTTTCATCTGGAGCATGTTGGTATGAAAAAGCAGTAGTGAAAAGAAACAGTGCTGTATCTCCTTTGCACCCCAAAACAAATGTATGAAGACATGTTTTGGAAATGTGTTGAACGTTACATATGCTGTAAGAAACTGAGGAGAAGCTTGGCTATTTTGACTTTCTCTCAGGGTGAGCCTGAGCACATCCATCAGAAGGGGAGGAATTGGGA